TATAAGGGGCTTAGAGTTCAGATCCTCACAGAGTCCTTTGGAGAAGCTAGTAAAAGTCCGCGGCCCTGCTGAGCACATTCAAATGCGCTCAGGTTTGAGAAATTGCTACTAACCACTTCTGAGGACAGAGATTGGAGCAAGCTTATGCCAAGCAAGGGCTATAGCCCAGCATTCCAGCGTTCCAGGGACCAGCATCCTTTCTGCTTCTCAGGCAGGAAGCAGGGTCCCTTCGAGCTTTTTAACCCATTGTAAGCCTTTAGGAATAGCCTGCGTGGCTCAGTGTTGGGTGCTCAGAATCTGGGTATCTGGGTTCTGCCCAGCTTGGGCTTCTCTCCTGGGGCTCAGTTTCTGTAACAGCAAACTGGGTTGGTGACAAACTGTCATTTCTCTTTCCTCCATCACTGACTAGTTGTATGACCTTGGGCAAGTTACTTACCTTCTCAGGGTCTCTATTTCCACATCTTGGAAATGGGCATCCTAAGAGATCATCTGTAGCTCATAGAAGTCATTGTTAAGAGGATCAAATGAGTGGTATTTAAATGTACAGCTTTAAATACACATTATAGAAGGTGAGGAGAGAGGTCTTAACTCTATTCTGAGGACTCTCTGAAGAAGGAAGATCCTAAATAACCCAAGCATACAAGACTCATTGTCCCCTGGACTTCTTATTCATCTGTGCACAAGTGCTTATGCAAGAAACATCATATACCTTTCTCTTTAACTCAGCTTAATTCAGACACTCAGTCCCAAGCAGAGGAAATTCTCCACTTATTCTGAGGACTTACTTGGTGCAGATTGTATTTTCCAAAGATGGCTGTGACAATATCTTCTCTTCTGCAATCTTTTCGAGAACTTTGCCACCCTCTTATCAAGAGAGGGAGACTATGTCTCCTCCCCTTGAACCAGGTGGGCCTTTGTGATTGCCTGCACTAATAGAATACAAAGGAAGTGATGCTACATGGCTTCAGATGCTGGGTCATAAAATGCCATGTGCTTCTATCTTGTTCTCTGTTTGCTCTTGAAACCCAGCTGTCTTGCAGTGAGAAAGCCCCAGCAGCCTGCAGAGAGGCCTCATGGAGAGGAACTGAGGTCTTGCTCCACAGCTCTAGCTGAGTTCCCAGCTAGCATCTAGCACCAACTTGCTAGCCATGTGAGTGCGCCATCTTGTGAAGGATCCTCCACCTCCAACTGAACCAGCTGATATTGCATAGAACAGAGATAAGCCTTCCCCAATGAACCCACCCCAAATTGCAGATTTATGAGCTACATAAATGATTGGGTGGTTTGTTACATAGCAATAGGAAACAGATACACCACTCTCCTTCCTTTCCTCCTCCCAGAGTTATGTCAAAGTCTTAGGGCCTTACCTAGGCCTGGGTACCTAGGTACCAACAAGACTCTGTCACCTATGTTCTTGACCACAAGGACCTTCAGGTCTCCTGCTCTGCAGCTCCTGTGCCCCCTTTGGGGTGGGAGAATCATCTGAGAGGCTGGGAACCCCGTAGCCATACCATACCCCCCCTTTATTTAAGAGAAAGAGCACAAGCAGGGGAGAGAGTGAGGGCAGAGGGAGGGGGAGAGAGAGAATCTCAAACAGGCTCCATGCTCAGCGTGGAGCCTGACATGGGGCTCAATGCCATGACCTCAAGATCATGACCTGAGCCAAAACCAAGAATTGGACACTTAACTGACTGAGCCACCCAGATGCCCCAAGCCTTTTAAGGTCTTGCCATACTACCATCTTCCCTACTTCCAAGCTGTCCATTTGATATCTTCTCTCAGGTCTTTCTAGAGTAGTTCTTCTTGCTCCTTTTCCCACCTCCCAAACCCCTGGCTTCACTTCTGGAATGGCCCGAAGAGGTTCCCAAAAGAAGGAAGTTGTCTCTCACTAGAGGCTGCCCAGCAAAATGCCCAGGATAAATCATGATAAAGCCTGACCCTGGCTGGAAGAGAGGAAACACTGGGGGGAGCCAAGCCAACGTGACATTTTAGTAAATACTTCAGACACACCTCTCCTCAATGACTTAAGCTTCCAATAGGTAGCAGGCAATGTGCTAGGTGTTGGGGAGACAGAGACAAACAGCGGGGCCACTCATAGACCCAGGCAAGAGGGCCACCTGTGTCAGCTCAGAACCTACACCCTACTGCCTTCTGCAGTCATGCGTCAGATATCCCAAATCCTAGAAATCTCTGCCTAAATGGTCCACATAAGCAAATTCCCCAGGTCCATCCTTCCAAGAGTACAGGTGCACCTGTAGAGGGGTGAGTGAGTGGCAGCTGTAGGTAAGAAGTGTGGACAGAGTTTGGGCACAAGGGCTGGGGTGTTTATGTGCCTGAGTCCTAGGTCACTTGTACGCACAGGACAGGCACGGGGCTGGGAAGAGAATCTGAGTGGATTGGCTGAGGGGTCAGGGTTAACCCACCCCCCACTTCCATGTTCCCGCAGAGAATTCTAAAGAGTCCAAGAATTCTCAATGTGAACATGACCCTCTTGGTCACGATAAAGAATATTTCTCAAGGTAGGAGGATAAACATTTTATTTTACAGTCTGTTGAATGTTGAGATGTAAGATAAGTGGGCCTCAATTTTCATATTAACATGTTAGCATAGTTCTGTGGAATAGGACCAATAGACTCTGAGCTCCTCTAGAAAGACCCTCTTTGATGGGGCTGTAGAGGGTGGTAGGGGAATATGGCAGAGATTCTAAAATCTGCCTGCAGATGGCCTCTCCGTGTTGCCACAGCTGCCAATGTCTCCAATCTGGAGTGACAGACCAGAAGGGGTGGCAGATGGGACTCATGTGATTGAAAGTCTGCCTGGAGGGGAGGGAGAGCCTGATGTGATCCAGCTGTTTTGCCAACTGCCAATCACCATCACACACCCCCAGCTTGAGGGGAGCGCCATGGAATAGGGTGGAAGAGGAGGGTATTTTATGTCCATTTTGCATGGGTTGGCTAGGAAGCCAGTCCAGGATGGAATAGCACAGTGGTTCTGAAAGTGGCCACTGGACCAGCAGCGTCAACGTCATCTGGGAGCTTGTTAAGCTGCTGGCCACTTGCAGGAAAGATGGCGTCCCTCTGTGGGAAGGACGACAGAGTGGACCCTGCTGGGCTTAAAGCTCCCCCAGCCCCAGTCTCCCGACTTGGCGTGGAGATTCTATAAAGGAGACTTTTTACTGGAAAGAGAACATTTATTGAGCATGCACAGTGCGCAAGAGTGGGCCGACATTTCATGAACACTACCACACTTAATCCTCAACAGCCACCCTCAAGATTGGTGGTGTTATTATTCCCCTTGTACAGGTTTCTCCCAGAGAAGTTCGGTACCTTGCCTTGCCTTGGGTCACAAGGCTCCTAGGGTGCTACCTGGTCTTTGTGATTCTCAGACCACCCTACCTTCTTCACCATTATGCCCAACAGTGGTTCTCAATCTTGCTTGTGATTCAGAATCACCTAGAGACCTTGTTAAAACAAAATTGCTAGGCTTCTACCCCAGAGTTTCTCATTCAGTCGGTCTGGGATGGGGCTCCAAAACACACATTACTAACAAGTTCCCAGACGCTGCTGAGGCTGCTGCAGGTCCAAGGACCACGCTTTGGGAACCACCGTGCTGGGCTGGGATCCAGCTCCCCACCCTACTCCACTCAGGCACAATGGGCATAATCATACCCTCCCCACAATGGCCTCCTTGTGAGATACCAATGAGATAATAGGAGTTAAAGAGCTTTGTCAGCTGCAAGGTGAATGGTCCTGGTCATAACGAGGAAACCTGCCTGGGGCTGGTCCCTGGGGTCTGGGAGTGCAGAGGGCTGGGATGCAGGTCTGGGCAACACAGCCTTGTGCAGATCTTTGCAGGCCATCTTAATTCTGAGTCACTTCTTAAGGGAGGAAACCAGCTTCTGGGGCTCAGGCCAGCAGACCCTCCTGCTACCTGCCTCATCAGCCCACGCCTCCTCCCTCACCCCAGGCAGCCTGCTGAGCACAGCCCCAACAGCTGGCTGGCCTGGGCCACTTTTCAGGAGCCAGTCCAGGCAAGCTGGGGCAGTATCAAGCTTGTGATTCAGGGCTTGGGGCCGGATCCTGATCCCCTCCAGCGTGAGACTGAGGCCACGACTTCCCTTCTCTGAGCCTCAGGCCGTTCACCGGTAAAATGGGCGCAACGAGAGGACCATCGCATAGAGTTGTGCGAATTTAAGGGCCAGTCCTGTTAACATGGCTTGGCAGAGAGCCCGGGCCCTGGCGAGGGTCCAGTCACTGGTTGTTGTATTTTCAAAAAGTGCCTGGGCCCAGGCCGCCTGCTGATAAAGGCCCCGACTTGGAACGCAAACCGCTCCCACGCCGTCCCCCGGTAGCACCCGGATACACCCGCCCTGGAATGCCAGCTTGGGGGCCGAGGCCGGCCCGCCCCGGGTTGGGGTTGGCAGGGCAGAACAGGATTAGGGAGGTACTGAGGCGGGGAAGGGTGAGCCTGGGGCGGGGGTTCGCCCGAGGGGGCCAGCGTAGCCGGGAGGAGAACTTTGACCCCGGCGGGGTGGCGGGAGGGTCTGGGGGAAGGCTGGGACGGACGAGGAAGACCCAGAAGGGGCGGAGCCGTTAGGCAGAGCAGTGAGTGGGGCTTCCCCCCCACCCCAGCAGGGCTCAAGCGCGAGCCCGGCCAGGCTGGGAGCCAGACTTCAGCCGCGCAGGGTCGGGTGGCAGGAGGGGCGCAGAGTAAAGCTCTGAGGAGGCGGGGCGAGGAGGCGGGCCCGGGGGCGGGGCTGGCGGGGTGGATTAAGGAGGCCACAGCGGGCGGGGCGGGGCAAGGGGCACCCCCTCCTTCCTAGGACGGGGGCGGGGCTGGCGGGCATCTCCTAGGGAGGCCTGGTGGGCGGAGCCGGATCGGGCCCGGAGCCAGCACCATTCCCGCAGGGCAGGGGGCGTGCCCAGGGCGTGTCCTCAAGGGGGCGGGGCCTGGCCCAGCCGCTACGTTCCCGGACGGCCGCCGGGAGGACTGCCGAGTGACTGAGCCCAGGGCTGCGCATTCGGACGCTGACGGGCGCGAGCGGGCGACGCCGGGCTTGCAGCGCCGAGCAGAAAGCAAAGCCAGCAGGTGAGAGGGGCGGGGGGGAGGCCGGCCGGACAAAGAGTAGCAAAGTTAGTTTTCGTCCCCACTTCCAGAGCCCGGTTAGGCAGCTTTCTCGGAGCAAGTGACAGAAGCAGCTGGTGGGTGAAAAGGAGCCGAAGTCCCCGAGTCCTGACCCCCAGTTCTCTGGCTGCGTCATCTACCAGCCGTGTGGTCCGGGGCCCGACCCCCCTCTCCCTGCTCTGGACTTCTCGGGTTCCATAAACGGAGGAGGTTGGACCAGGTGAACTCCGTGCTCCGTGCTCCCGTTGCCCTTTCTCACGAAAAGCCCGGAAGGTGAGGGCCGGCAGGTGAGAGCGGGCTGCAGTTCAGCCACAGGTGTTCACAGCGGGCTGGCCAGCTCTCCCTACCCGGTGGCACTGAGCCAAGGGAACTCTCCCGGAGCATTAAGCGAAGTACTTGAAAGTTCACCCCAGTTCCTCGGACGGGGCTGAAGCCCACAAGCCCTGAGGAAGCAGCCTAAAGCAGGGAAATGTCAGTCTTCCCTTGCCCCCAACACTGAGATCCCAGTAAGACTTCAGACCACAACCTCAGCGGGGGCTTTTGTCCCCTTCCTGGGGCATTTCCAGGTGAGCTGGCCTGGGACAAGTTCTTATGGGGGAAGAGAAGGGAAAACCCCGCCAAACTTTGGGCTCAGAGTCAAGCCCAGGGCCCAGGGCTCTTGCTGCATGCTCGGGGTTAGTTCACTGGGCTGGAGGTTTCTGTTCCTGGTGCTGGTGGGTGCTCTGTGCCAGGGTCATAGTTGCTGGGCAGCCTAGTTCAGTGGGCAAGATCTTAGGTTCTGGGACCAAACCGATTAGGATTCCACTCACCTCCAAGCTTCAGTTTCCTCATCTGTAAAATGGGAGTCCTGGCAGAACCCAAGGGCAGTAGTGAGGACTAAACAGAATAATTCATATACAGTGGTTAGCAAGGCGCCAGGCACCCAGTGAGCCCTCACTATATAACAGCTGCCCTGACGCCGATGGGCAGGTGATGGGCTGACTTCCCGCCTGGGAATGAGCCTGTTTTCAGAGGGCTGGAAGCTGGTTGCAGCCCCTCCTGACCTTGTCAGGGCCAGAAATTGCCACCTGCCACCTGCATCACTTTGTCCATTTCAGGTTTGGGGAGTGTGTCATCTGGATCAAAGAGTGGCTGCGTTTTCTGTAATAGTGCTGGAAGTTGGTGGTTGTCCAGTTACATAAACCCGAAAATGTTTACTGAGCACCTACTATATATTAGATGGAGCTCAGGGATACAGAGGTGACCTAGCCAGACCTGGGCTCTGCCCTCATTTTGGGTTGCTGACAGTGAGGGCCCCCCACCCCCACCATGCCCCTGCTGGGGCAGATAACGCACACCCAGGGCTTGGGGCCAGATGAGATTTCATGAGTCTGTACTGCTCTGGTGTCTGGAACCCAGCTATTCCACTGAACACTTGGCTTGGGGTGAAGGTGAGAGTCAGTGTGGGCACTTGTTAACCTGTTCAACCAAGGCTGGGGCCCAAAGGAGACTGGGGGTGCTGTATGCCGGTTCCCTGAATGTCCTGGGGAGATGAGCCCTACCATTTGGAACCAGCTAGAAAGTCGTGTGGGAAGAGTCTGGCTGAAGGCTGCACTATAGGGAGGAAACGGTGTGTATGCCTCTGGAAGGGGAGGGTGCTTAGAAGCAGTGAGACACTGGAGAAACCAGGGCAGAAGGTGAGGGGCTTCCTGGAGTTGGTGACACTTGAGCAAGACTTTCTGCCTGGGCTCCCAAGTCCTGATTGGGCTTGGATCAACTTGGGTCAGTAGGTGGGGCCCATGGGGGGTGGGGGGGGAGGAGAAGATGTTCATTTCAAACAGTACTTAGTAAGCAAATACTGGAAGTCTTCCCCAGCACCCCTCCAGCCCACATGATGCATGACGAAGGATGACACACTGCCCCCATCCTCAGTTGCTTATCGTCTGGGCAGGGATACCAGTGACTCTGGTAGGAGATAAATGAAAAAAGTATTACAGGGAATTTTCACGGAGGAGGTGGAATTTGGGGTGGGTCTTAAGCATTGGGAAGGTTTCCTCAGCTACAATGAAAGTTTTGGGCAGAGGAAAATACCTAGGCAAAAGCAGGAGGTCAGAGTGTTCAGGGACTTTTTCAGAACCTGCTAGGTTGATCAGTCTGGCCGAAGAATTGGGATCCTGCAGGGATGTGAAGGGGGGAATGGTGGGTTGGATCAACTCATGGAGGGCCTTCAATGCCAAGGTGAGATGTTTGGATCTGATTTGTAGAAAGTGAGAGCCACTGAAGGTTTCTGAGCCGGGGAGTGACGTATTCAGAGGGGCACTTGAGGAAAGCAGTCTCCAGATGTGCTGGGGTGAGGGACCCAGTGGTCAAGGGAGAAGGATTCCATGGCTGTGGTGATGGGGAAGGAGGGGCCTGCGGGCCTTTGGGGATGTCTGCTGCTGGGAGTGAAGAAAGAGGCACCATCGGGGGGGAGGGAGAAGAGAAAGGATCCCCATGTCTGCCCTGGTTTTCTTCCTATTCCCCCACCCAGCCTCCACCCTCGTGCCTAGCAGGGGCTCAGAGGTCCTGGGGAGGGTGATGCATGCTATGGAGTGATAGGGAGGGAGCCGCCCAGGAGGCCCTGTGCTTGCCCACGAAGGGGGGTCATCTGGCCAAGTGGTGGGAGCTTGCACCAGTCAGCGGTGGGTTTGAGAGGGAGGGAGTGAGCCTGTGGCACTCCCCCTCCTGGCTACAGCCCAGGGAGGGCTGCGGTGAGAGGTTAGCCAGTGGGGACACAAATTTCCCACATGTGGGGGGGGTAGATTTTGGTTGGCTCTTCTGAAGTTTCTGCAGTGTGGGGCAGTCCCCTCTCGAAGCTTCAGACTTTTGAGCCACTGTCTGAAAGCTCCTTCCTCCCCACCCTGGGGACACAGCCCCGTTGCACCTGAAGACCCGACAGCCCTGTCTGGCCCCGAGGCTGAGCAGACCCAGGCCCTGAGCATTCCTCTGGGTTTGGAGCATCTGGGGCCAGCTGGCATCCCCTGGTTTTGGCTTGGCCCTGCCCTTTACTCCAAACCGTTATAACCACTTCTTCTACCCCATGGGAAGCTCAGAGGGGGCGGTTATGATTTAATCAAGAGCATCAAACAGTCAGGAGTTGGCTCAGTGAGAGGTGGGAGGGAGGCAAGAGCCTGGGCCCCTCTGTGGGACAGGATGGGGCCAGGGCTGGGGGGTCTGTTTCATCTCAGCAGGAACTGCCCTGCCCACCGGCTTTCCCTCCTCTAAGCCTGATCGAAGGAGCCAGGAGGGAAGCCCAGAGGTAAACACAGTGAGCATGTGTTGCTTTCCTCCTCCCCTTGCCCCCTCCTGATGCTGCCTGTGAGGAGGCCAACCACAGGCACAGGGCCTCTGTCACAGGCCCAGTTGGTGTCTGGGGGCTGGCTGGCTCCTGACTCACCCCTGGGGTTCCCCCTACTCATTGGTTTTCCTGTCAGCAGCTGATTCACTCAGTGCTGACATGGAGAAGCAGCTGAGGGGGAGAGAAGAGGCCCTGTGTTCTGGTTCTTGGAATTACTTCCAACTCCTTTGTTTACAGGCTGTGTGACCTCAGATAAGTTCCTTCTCCTCTCTGGGCTGCCCTTCTCTGTCAGTGCTAATGACTTCTTCGTTCCTTGGCTTTTAGGAAGTTCTGTGGCCTGGGATCTGTTGTTTGTAAAGCACATGCGCGCGCGCGCGCACACACACACACACACACACATTGGGTGAACTGGGCGACTCCTCTCACACGGGCAATAGTGGGCCCACCTCCTTACCCTTGCTTACCCCACCTGAAGCCACCTTACCTACCTTCTGCCTGTCTGCAGATCAGGGAGATGGTAGAGCATGGTGGCAGAAAGCTGGACTCTGGAGCTAGAATCTTGCCTCTGCCCCTTCCTAGCTTTGTGACCCTTTCCGAGCCTCAGTTTCTGAATCTATAAATTGGGTAATGGGAACAACCTCATAGGGTGACGTGAGGCTAGAACAAAAAAGTGCCTTCCCCAGGGCATGTGCCTCCCCAGTGTGACCCCAAGCTTTCTGAGGGTTAAGGAAGTCTGAACATGGGTGGCAGCTTTTCTCCAAACCCTTCCTTTTCCTCCCCCTTCCTCTGTGCTTGTCTACACTGAGTACTTTCCTCTTCTTGCACTGTTGTTTTGTGGCATATGGAGTGTCTCCGTGAACCCTCCCAGGCAGAGACTGCCCTGTCCATCTCTGTATCCTTGACTCCTGGCACAAGGCCTGGCACACAGCAGACTCTCAGGAAATGATGGTTGAATGAATAAGTAAGTGATTCTCCTCGGGGTGGCCCAGCAGGACCCAGCTCCGGTGCCAGATCCTTGGTGACTCCTTGGCAAAGGTGGAGCTGGGAAGCAGGGTCTGGATGCCCGGGCCTTGCCCTTCTGGCCTGCCCATCCTGCTCCTGGAACCTGGGTCCAGAGAGGCAAGAATGGTTTGGCTGGCCTGGGACTGCTTCAGTCAGGGCTTCAGCTTCCTTTGTGAGGCCTGGCCTTTCCTCTCCTGAGAGGGGAACAGTCTGACTTCCTCTAGCTCCAGCCTGGTGAAGGGGCCACTTTGGCCCTTAGTGAACCCTGACTCAGTTCATAGTTATTTGTGGAAGGTGCTACTGTCCTGTGAGGGCACAGGCTGGGGGAATGGGAAGGTGCCCTCTGGGAGGCCCATCCCTGACAGTCTCTTTGCAGGCCACCAGGCATGTCACTCTGGGAGGCCCCTCACTGTCCCCTCTGGCTTCTTTCCCCACAGTAGGGGCTTCTGACTCTTCTTTGGGCCGCGTACCTGACTTTGTTGTGCTGAGGGGGGATCCGGGATAGAAGTTGTTGTTTCTGGACTTAGGCTTCTAGAGCCAATGTAGGAAAGTGGACAAAGCGCTGGAGTCTGGGTGTTGGGAAGTCTGGGTTCAGATCCTGGCTCGGCTGTGAAGTTGCAGAGTGACTTTGTCCAGGGAGGTGACC